AGCCCCTGGTAACTGCTAATCAACTTTGATCTCTATACATTTATATATTATTGATATTTCATATCACTGAAATTATATGATAGTTTTCCTTTTGTATTTGACTTATTTCACTCAGTATAATGTTTTCAGGTTTTATCTATATGGTAGCATGTGTCAGAACTTCATTGTTAATAATGCTGGAGTAAACACTGGTGTATAAATATCTGTTTGAGTCCCTGCTTTTAAGTAGTTGGGGCTTATCTATCTTTAAGTGGAATTGCTGGTGCATTGTGGGTAATTCTGTGATTAACTTTTTGAGGAATCACCAAACTGTTTTCAACACTGGTTACACCATTTTACATTTTCACCATCAGTGAATGAAGGTTCAAATTTCTTCAGATCTTCATCAATACTTTTCATTTGTGTTTCTTATGGTAGCCATCCTAGTAGGTTTGAGGTAGTGTCTCATTGTGGTTTTAATTTACATTTCTCTGATGACTAATGTTGAGTATCTTTCCATATGTTTATTGGCTATTTGTGTATCTTCTTTGGAGAAATGTCTATTCAAGCCCTTTGCCCATTTTTTAATTAGGTTGTTTGTCTTTTGTTGAATTGTAAGAGTTCTTCATATATTCTAGATGTTAAACCCTTATGAGATATGATTCCCAAATATGTTCTCCCATTCTATAGGTTGTCACTTCACTTTCTTGTTGAAATCCTTCAATGCATGAAGGTTTGTGATTTTGATGAAGTCGAATTTACCTATTTTGTCTTTCATTGCTTTTGCTTTTTGTGTCAGAGCTAAGAATCCATTACCAAAAACAAGGTCCTAAAGGATTACTTTTAAAATAAAAGTCTTTACAAATTTTATTGTGTTTTTGGTGAGTTTACACAGCAAATTAGGTTCCCATTTAACAATTTCTGTACATATTGTTTAGTGACATTGGTTATATTTTTTATAATAATATATATAATTATTTCCATCTGGTTGATCTGGTTGTTCTGTTTCTATTAATCTAGCTTCCCTATTCTCCCTTACCTTCTAATCTTTGGTCTAGGGTAAATGGATTTCATTTAGATTATTTAGAGGAGCACAGTAGTCACAGATGGCATTTAAAGCTTTATTGTATTCTTTTTTTCTAAGAGTTTTATGAGCTTAGTTCTTATATTTAGGTCATTGTTATAGTTGGGGTTGTGTGTCAACTTGGCTGGACCATGATTCTGAGTGGTTTAAGCAATTGTGATGTGGTTATTCCCATGATGAAATTGGATGTATATGTTTTGAGCAGCCAATCTGTTGAAATGGAGTTCCCTAGGGGTATGGACTGCTTCCTATATA